TCATTAGTGAAATCCCTTACCATTGCCACAAACTGCTGAATGGAGACTTTCTTTTGGATCATTGAATCAAGAATCCTCATTCTCTGGTTATCAAGCATGGTGTAACTAGGTTGTCCCAAGAGATGCTTGAAATAGTCAGTTGCTTTAATCTTGACCTCAACAATGGTCTCATCCCTTCTCTTTATAGAAATAATTTTCTTCCTGCTCCTTCTATTGATCATAGTCTTGAAAAAGAAGCTTGTATTATGATCACCCTCTTTAAGCCATAGGATCCTAGACTTTTGCTTGTAGATCATCTTCTCTGTTTTGGCAACATCCAGGTATGCTGCCAAAAGCCTCTTCTCCTCCTGTACCAGGCTATAGTGCATTGGGTTCCTATCAATATTAATTTGGAAAAACTAAAGAACAGTTTTTGCAGCTTGGACAAGCTCAGTAGAATGCCCTCCTTCCTTGCATATAGCCTTAAATACACCTTTGAGTCTCTTTAGCTTAGAGGTGAGTCTAAATTGGAATAAACCTTGCACTTCAGTCGCCCAAGCTTGAGCCACAGTGTCTAAAGAATTATCATTATCTGTAAGATGACTGAAGAACTTGAACGGAGTCCTCCTCTTCCAATCTGTGCTACCCAACTTAACAACAGCTGGAGAGTGATCAGAAATCCCAGATGGTAAGAACTCTGCTACAGCTTGTTGGAATTTGATGTTCCAAACCTGATTGACGAGGACCCTATCCAATTTCCTTGTAATACATCCCATCCCCTCTCTCTTATTTCTCTAGGTATAAAGTAAACTAGTGTACCTCAGGTCCTCGAGTTTAAAATCCTGTAAGCAATCTTCAAATTCCAACATTGCGTTGTTCCATTTTCCTGCACATCCCACAAACTCACTAAGGTTCCTTATGATGTTGAAATCACCGAGGATAATCCAAGGATCATTACTAACAAGTTTAGAAAAATATCTCAAGTCAACCTATAAAGACCTCCTCTCCACCACTTTGTTCATTGCATAAACAAATGAAGCAAAAAAGCAGGAATTGCTTTCAATGTGTTGGACATTGATTATAGCTTGGTAGATTCAAAATGTGTAGTAACATTGATTATATTCGGATTCCATCCAATCCAAATCCTCCCTAAAGTGTGGCACTGGTAATTTGCACAGTAACTCCACTGCCCAAAAACCTGATGTATTATAAAAGAGCAGTTAACATTCCTAACTTTGGTTTCAATGATTCCAACCATATCCAAATGAGTTTCTCTGATTAACTTTCTCACCTCTTCCTGTTTTGAAGGCTCATTAAGTCCTCTAATATTCCAACAAGCGAGATTGATCATGAAAGGATGGCTTTGCTGAGTTTAAAGAGCTCAGCCCCTTTTAATTTAGAAAAACATCTCAAGTCAACCCATAAAGACCTCTTCTCCACCACTTCATTCATTGCATAAACAAATTAAGCAAAACAACATGAATTGCTTTCAATGTGTTGGACAAGATAGTGTATAGCTGGGTCAGATTCAAAACGCGTAGTAACATTTATTATATTCGGATTTCATCCAATCCAAATCCTCCCTAAAGTGTGGCACTGGTAATTTGCACAGTAACTCCACTGCCCAAAAACCTACTGCACTATAAAAGACCAGTTAACATTCCTAACTTTGGTTTCAATGATTCCAACCATATCCAAATGAGTTTCTCTGATTAAATTTCTCACCTCTTCCTGTTTTGAAGGCTCATTAAGTCCTCTAATATTCTAAAAAGCGAGATTGATCATGAAAGGATGGCTTTGCTGAGTTTAACGAGCTCAGCCTCTACCTTAGACTTCTTCTTTGACTTTTTTGCCTTTGTCCTTTTCTGGGTTATCCACTAATTCTCAGTATCCACTAGGCCATCTCTCTCCACTTCACTAGCTTTAGGATGGGCTGGGCTAATGTCTACAACAATAGACCCTCTGCACATATTTAAATTACCCTTCATTTCATAGAGTTGACTACCTTTGTGTTTCTCAGATAGGCTGGGGGGATTGCTTGTTCCTCAATCACCACAATTTCTTTGCCCCCATTCAAGACATCTGAACTGCTGGCCAGTTGGGAAGAAGGCACAGCGTTACTAGTTTGATCAGGCTCCTCCACCACAATAGTAGTACTCACAATGACTTTCCCTTTTTCAAGTTTACTGGCCTGGAGAGATTGGGGAGCAATCTCTTTTGGCCTATTGTCTACCTGCTTGTGGCAGTTAGACTGAGCATATCCAAATGTCTTACAACTAAGACAAACCTTAAGTTTCCATTGGAACTCAACCCCAATGGAAACCAAAATGGGATTACCACTATCATCATACCTGTCCAACAGCAAGTCAAATGATTCAATAAGGTCACACTTAGCATTAATCTCCACACATACACGTTCGTAGCTAATCCTCTTCCTCGTTGCAGTAAGTGAATCAGCATATTATGGTTTGCCAATCGCACTTGCGATGTAGTTGATACCTTCGTCTGTCCAGTACTGTAGAGGAATATTATGCAGCTTCACCCATACTGGTATCAAAGTGTGGTCTTCTTTTGAGACAGCAACATCAGACTGTCATTTCTTAAGGAAGAGAGGCCTACCATGGACCAGTTTCCAACACTTTTGTTCTTGCCTCCTCATCATCGAATCTAAAGAAAAAGAATTCATGCTCGTTAGCCAGCACCTCCAATAGGCCCATTTTATACCATATCTTATGAGCAATGAATTACACTATCGAGAATGACAATTTTTTCTCTATGAAGTATCCCACAAGATATTTACTCCATAAGGCGCAGCCTTTGCTTGCTACTTCAGCTGGGGGTTGAACAACAACACGATTGTTAACTATTTTGGGTTCATAATAATGCAATTTCATGGCACCTTGCTCAATCCTGCTAGTTTCAGGGTTAGGGCGATTCCTTCCATACTTGAGCATCTGACTCCAAGGGACATTAGTGCCAGATCTGAGCAGAGCAGCGGGGATTTCCCCTGTTTTAACAGTAGATTCAGTATTCTGACTCCTATTGGCTGAAGTGTTCATACCTTCCACACACACAGCAGTGGAAGCAGCATAAGTGGGCAATAACTCCTCTTGGACCCTACCATCATGGCTTGTAGTAGAAACGGAGCAGTAATGGCTATTAAATTTACCCATAGTGGACAGATCTACAGGATCCACTGTTGGAGAAGCAGAGACACCCTCGGTTGTGCAAGGATCTTCAGCCCTAGGGTTAGAGACGGGAGAAGGGTCCATTCAAAAGCAAGAAACTATGCTAATGATGGGATTAGAGAGAAAAGGAAGCTGGTTATGATGGGTCATCGAAGGAGGAGAAGTAAGGGAAGGAGTACAGAGCATCACATTCTTGCTGGAAGTCCTTTGCCTCTATTTTGTGTTGGAGTTTTAAATGGATAGTATTAACTTTTCCTTTGATATGGAGAAAAAGGACACCAAGTTGATGTCCCTATTTTTAATGACTTCACATTTTCACGTTGACTTTTGAAAATCTAAATGAATAATCAAATAACTGAATCCTCACATACATGTATGACTTTTAATTTCACTATGTCAGGTATTTTTCTAAAATGTACTAGAAGCTTCCATCTGAATCAAGTTTAATTTCTAACAGGATTTATCCATAAACAATAAAGATTTTTAAATTTATCTAAGGCACTTATTGAACTCTAGCAGAATTGGGGGCAACAAAACGAACCTAATGGGATCATATGGAAAATAGATTTGCAAAATTTTTTGCTTGGTGAATCTCCAATAGAAATTGGAGACTTGTGGCTTCTGAAAAAAAGGTACTAACAGAAAGTGTTATACAAAAAAATGTTGTATCTTTCTTGCATTGTGTAGCTTTTTCAGAGTGAATAGAAAGCTAATTTCATAACTGTACAATTTGAAAATCAATTAACTATTTTATCCTTGTAATTTTGTTTCTACAATGGCAGCTCTTGTTCTCTCTTCTCAGTCGGTCCAGTTCTGTTGTTATTTCTTTCATGCTTGGCCTTTTCTTCCCTTTCTTTTTCAGACACCTCTTAGCAAGCTCAGCTACATCAATAATCTCATCCTTTCGATTTTTGTCGGTCAACAAAGTATCTAGAATCTCAAACAGGCGATCTTGTTTCAACAATGTCAAAAAGTTTATAACCAGGCCTTCATCAGAACTACTACTTGAGACGGCCTTCTTTCCGGTTAAGAGCTCAGCAAGAACCACACCAAAGGCATAAACATCACTTTTATCAGTAAACTGGCCAGACCAGAAGTACTTGGGATCTACGTAACCAAAAGTGCCCCCGACCAATGTCGTTAAGTGAGTCCAATGAATGGGTACTGACCTAGAAAGTCCAAAATCAGACACTATAGCCCTGAAATTGTGATGCAATAGCATGTTGCTAGACTTTATGTCTCTATGAAAAATGGCAGTTGAAGCATATGAGTGTAGATAAGCAAGTGCACTGGCGATTTCCCCAGCAATTCACAATCGATTTTCCCACGTCATTGTTGAAACATTTTCGGAATAATGAAGATGTTGTGACAATGTGCCATTGGAGACAAATTCATAAACCAACAATGGAACCTCATACTGCAAACAGCAACCTAACAATTTGACAATATTCCTGTGGTTTACCTGTGAAAGAATGCAAACTTCATTAATGAATCGACCTACTTGACTTTCATCAACTATATTTGATTTCTTGATAGCGACAATTGTTCCATCTGGTAACATTCGTCCGTTTTGAAGAGTCGGTTTTTATTGAACTTTCATTACTATAAGAGATTTTTTGTTGCAATAGGAAGCCCCCATTTCTCTTGAAAAACATCTGCCTCATGTTGAATTTCTTTCTTTGTTTGAGTTTGTGGTACATCAATAGACCAATGACTATTAGAATTAGAGCACCAGAAGAAATTTCCATGGCTGCAAGGGCCAATGAAAGTTTGTTAGTATAGTTCAGTCAAAGTTTGTTAAAGGATGGGAAGATGAGAAGAGAAATTGTATACCTAAAGAAGCAATTTGAGTAAATGGTGACCTTCCTCCATTAGATTTGCATCCAAAATATCCACTTGCATTGTGATAGATCTGATAACCCTGTGGGCAACTGCACATGTAGCTGCCTGGCGTATTGGTGCAAATAGCGTTACTCTGGCATTTGTTGTTTGGGTCTTCACACTCATGATATCTTTTAAGAAGCCTAAAATAGAATGCTAATATTAGAATTCCTCCCAGATTCATAATGAGATAAAATTAATAGCATAAGTTCTCATTAGTATTTGTAAATTTTTTGTTATCTTGTTCATCGCGCTACAACAATGGAAATACTTTATAGAACAAATTTAAGGTAATATGTTATGATCCAATATGTTCACAACAGTAAAGATTTAGTTTGTCATATGTACGTTCATAAATCATCTTTTTTTTACAAGCCAACTTTTAAAGTGCACTCTATCATCGCTTCAAATCAGTTTGTGTCATAGTCAGACATGCCATATTCATTGTGGCTCTGTAGGCATCATCAACAAAGTGCAACTTATAGGCTAGATTATAACACTATACCCATTTATAGTACTAAGGCATTTCAATCTAAGCCTATAGGTCGTTCTTTCTACGGACGAAGTTATGACATACTGTCTCTTTTTCAAACCAAAAAATATAAACCCATGTGTAAGTCACTTTGAAACTAAACTCATTCTTAACCAATGTAGCTTTAGGATCATAACAAAATATTTTACCCACAGAAGACAAAATAAACCTAGTAAAGTATCAAGAAGGCAACGGTTTTTAAGTAGCAAAGAAACTCCACTATGTACAAAATGAATACTATTGTAGTAATTCTAGGAACCTTGTAGTAGTCCTAGGAATTATAACAAAATGAAATTGTAATAGAAAAGCCTATGCATACCGTGGCATCCCTTAGGAAGGTAAGGGCTCCCGTGGTAACCATCCAAACAACCGCACTTATATCCCTTGCCTTGTGTGTTGTCATCACAATAGTTGTGCCGGCTGCATAAAAGGCTTCCTGTTCTCTAAGCTTCATCACAACTGACGTTTCCAATCGACCAACTAAGCACGGTAGGGATAAAGGGGTACATCTCTATTCCTCTCCTGTAACTGGAAAAGTCCTTCTGGGCAACAAAGGCCGCGGTGCATGGGTGAGAGCTCCAAGAATGGTTAAAAGTATTCATGCTGATGATTTGGAGATCAAATGAGGAGATATCGTTTGGGATAGTTGTTTGGCAGCACCCAACACCAGAGCAAGAAAGACCCAAAATTGGTCTTGCAGTATCATTATGACATAAGGACACACCCACTTGTATAGTTTGCACTTTTAGGGTCAATAATATAGGCGAAAATGTCACATCCTACAGCTACAAACTTATTTTGGGTGTGGGAAAAACTGAATCTCAGGTTCAACTTGTAATTCAAGCCTATAGAATTTGTCCCAGAATCGTTGAAACAGTCGATTGCCATACTTCCACCACCAACACGGATGTAATCGAGGGACAAGTCCAATACAAATAACTCACCGACCAGCCAGGCCCATGACCCATTTGTGCATGTGACTTCAAATTCTTTTTCCATGCAACAGCCTTGTCCGATGCCAAATGGATAAGGAATTGTCATGTGCCCACATTTCTGTTGGCAATCAAGCTTTGCCATCGAGGCTGTTCCCTGTGGTTGAAATAGTAAAGCAATGCTTAATATTTGAAGAACCAGTAATAGTTCGGGTGCCATTTTGGCTAGAAGATAATAATAGGCAACTCTATTCACAGTAGAAGTCCTTGAGAACCAAAGTCACTCCCATCTTCTTTGTGTTGAGATCATGTTATATCCCTAGCTTCCTGTGTGTCCCACTCAACATTTCATCCAAAAAGACTCGCAACTTCTCTGGGAAATTGCTACTTCACTCTTTCATGATTTCATTGTGCAATTTCAGATCCTTTCAAGAGTTTGCCTCACGAAATACCCAGCGCTCATCAATCCTCAAATATGGTTGTCCTGCTCGTATTTTGAATTCAAAAACAACGAAAACGACCCTTGTTAAGGCTGCTTGGCATAGTGCTTTGGAATTTTCGATTGTGCTTAACCTAATGGTAGCAACAAGAAGTAAATGTATTTTTTTTTTCTCACTAGCTACCAGCAAGGTACTTAGTAAATTCTGCTATTAAGCAGTTGTTGGAGTCCCTAAATTCCCTTAGAGAATTTTATCTTTCACTGCAAACATATAAATATGTTAAAAGTTTGTTGTTCTCGTAGCCTTATTCTATGACAACGTGCAATCTCTCTCTCTTTCTCCCTCTCTCTCTCTCTCTCACTCTCATTAGAGATACTTTTTCATGCTGCAAAGTTTTTTTTTTCAGAAGGTAAAATATATTAACAGAAACAAGGGTAATCACCCACAAATGTACAATAAGGACACATAGGATTCAAGACAAACATCAAACCCAAAAGCCTTGACCTCAAAATACAAGTATGTAAGAACATCTCCCACAAACTTGTTAACAAAAGAAAACAATGGTATACAAACAAAGTATGAAACCAATCAAAGAGGCAGTACACAAGGAGTTCCAACAATGCAGTATCTTCACCCAAAACATGCCTGTAGCATTCAAGCAAGCGGCTGGAACATGGGACTGCTACAGATCAATACATCATCTCCAAAAGAAAACTTTCCTGTAGCTTCTAGCAAAAACTGTAGCGGTTGCCACAAAGGAACAAAGTGTCACAAAAGATGGACTAACTACCCATTAAAGATAACATGCTGGTGCTTGCAAATTCATGAAGCCTCCCAGTGCAATGACCAAAAACCGAGAAAAACAGAGAACCACAGAGATGCACAGGAGCACTACAACAGTAGGTAGCAAGCAAAGCAGCACTGCAACATAGGGAAATAGACACAGCAACCTGTAACAGTGGGTAGCAAACATAGTAACCAATGGGAAGCCAAAGACAGATCATATCAAACAAGCTTCAGGAAGATTCCAATGTTGTAGCAAAATTGCATTATGTTGAGTCCGCTTGAATTTCAAAGATATGAGCCTTTCTCTAATGGTTTGCTTGATGGATTGAAGAAGAGAATGTGGGTCTTTGCTCAACGTTTTGAAAATTTTACCATTCCTCTCAGTCCACAACGAATAGACAGTAATTGAAAGACAGAGCTTTAAAATAGTTGTCTTCATTGATTTTCCTCTCCATTGTTGAGCAGCCGATGAAATTGAGTCAATCCATTGTCTCTGCTGCCACTGCTGGTTGCATAGGAGCATAACACCATTTCAAACCCTGTTTGAGAAATTACATTCAAAAAACAAATAGTTGTGAGTTTCTTCAACTCTCCTACATAGAACACATTGTGGGTCGATCTGAGCTACAAATATTTGAATTATGTCCTTGGTGCTCAGCTTACATCTAATAGCAAGCTAGAGGATGAAGGTCATTCATGGGATAGCTTTACCATACCAAACAAGTTTATCCCATTGCATGGTTGGACTTTCACTCCTGATATGTTCCCAAGCAAATTTGGCAAAAAGCTTACCTCTCGCAGTTAAAGTCCACTTTACTGAGTCCTCAGTATCATGGTCAAGAAGGTAGCTTGGCATTGCATTGATGATTTCCTACAGTTGAATGGAAGTACCAATTGTCCAATTTCATTGGTTGTTCAAAATAATTCTGCTAACCTTTGTGTTCCTTGGAATTCCGAATTCTAGCATGATCCTTGGGTTGCTTCTTCGAAGGAGAGGACCAAGGGGGTGCCAGTTATCTTGCCAAAGGCTAGTAGAGTTCTCATTTCTTACCCTATGGATAATGCATGGCCTGAACAATTCTCTAAGTTTAAGCAAATTTCTCCAATTCCAAGAGCATGCTTGGGTGGCTTTGAGGTCCCAAAGGATTCTGTCTTTGATGTAATAGGCATGAATCCATTGAGTCCATAAATTCTCCTTGTCATTAAAAAGCTACCACAAGTGCCTCATTAGCAGTGCTCGATTCCAGTCCCTCAACCTTTTGATACCAAGCCCTCCTTCTTCTTTAGGTTTACATACCTCTTTCCAAGAGACCTTTGCTCCCGTATGACAAAGATCAAACCCTATCCAAATAAAGGATCTCAGAGTCTATTCAGTTCTGTGAATAACCTTCTGTGGAAGACTCAAATGAGAGGCCTAGAAGATGTGTAAACTCCAGAGAATAGATATGACAAGCTGAACTCTTCCTGCGTATGAAATTGATCGATTGACCCAAGACTTAACTCTTGATTCCACCTTTTCAATAAGACTGGAACAGTGTTGATACTTCAAACCAGACGAAATGAGTGGGACTCCTAAATATTTGATAGGCAAATTTCCTTCTTCAACGCCAAACAAATTCTTTATATGACAAGTAGTATCTTCATTAATTGCACACATGAAGATATTACTCTTTCTTGTATTAACCTGAAGCCCTGAAGCCACACTGAACTGGTCCAAAGAATTCTTAATCACAGAAGCATAGTTCATATCTCCATAGCAAAACAACATCAAGTCATCAGCAAATGAAAGTTGGGCAATCTTGAGAGTTTTACACCTCCAATGGAATCTGAAGCTTGGATTAGAGCTGATGTTGAACTAGACAAGAAGAGATAAACACTTCATTGAAATGACAAAAAGGTAAGGGGACATAGGGTCACCCTGTCTTAAACCCTTCCTACTAGGGAAGTATCCAACAAGCCCACCATTGATGTTCACTGAAAATCTAGCAGAAGTAACACATGCTTGAATCCATCTCCTTATGCTGTGAGGGAAATTAAGAGCCTCCAATGCTTCAAACATAAAAGTCCAATCAAGTGTGTTATAAGCTTTCCTCAAATTCACCTTTAAAGCGCATCTAAGGGACCCTTTATTTTTATGGTAATCCCTCATTAACTCTTGAATGAGTAGAATATTGTCTCCAATCTTTCTTCCATGGACAAAGGCTGCTTAGTTTGGATTTATAAGAATGGGGAGAGCTCCTTTAATCCTGTTAGCAATGATCTTGGATATTGCTTTATACATGACATTGCAACAAGAAATAGGTCTCTAGTCCCCCATACTTGTAGGATTGGAAACCTTGGGTACTAAAGCAATGATGGTACTGTTAAGCTCCTTTAATAATCTTCCAGTTGAGAAAAATTCCTTCACAACAGAAACAATATCCTTCTCTATGATATGCCAAGCCCTTTTAAAAAATACAGCATTGAACCCATCAGGACCTGGGGCTTTTTGGTCATTGAAAGAGCAAAAAACTTTCTTGATTTCCTCCTCAGTGACATCCCTCTCCATATTAGCAGCTTGTTGATCAATAACTCTATTTTGTATAATAGGTTGCAGCATATCCCTACTCTCATTAGTATAGGAGGAACGTCCCACGAGCTTTTGAAAGTAATCCAGAGCCTCAACTTTCACTGCTTGTTCCCCTTCAACCCTGGTACCATCAGCTCTCATAAGAGCCAATATCTTTTTCCTATTCCTTCTATTCGCTATAGTTTTGTGGAAGAAAAATGTATTCTTGTTCCCTTCACTGAGCCATTGGACCCTTGATTTCTGTTTGTAAAATCCCTCCTCAATATTAGCAGCTTGAATGTAACTTGCAAAGAGTTGTTGTTCTTCTTGATTCATGGCAAGGTCACTTAGGTTACCATCCAACATTCTTTGACATCTCTCCAAAGCTTCCTTGGCTCCAACTGTGACTTCCCCAATATTCTTGGACATCCCTTTAAAGATTGGCTGTGACCAAATCTGATTCACCACGTCTAAGAAATCCTCTCTCTCAACAAGAAAGTTAAAAAATTTGAAAGGGTTGTTCCTCCTTTCCCCTTGAAGTCCCAAATGCACAACATCAGGACTATGGTCAGAGACTCCAAGTGGTAAAAATTCTGTCATAGCCTGCCGAAAAGTGAGGTTCCACCTTTCATTCACAAGGATTCTATCCAGCTTACGAGCCACACATCCATGTCCACCCCTCTTATTATGCCAAGTAAATTGGATACCTGAGTACCTAAGGTTAATAAGCTCGGAATCCTGTAAACATCTGTCAAATTCTTCCATTGCTGAGTTCCATCTGTTCTGCCACCTTTCATTTTCCTGTAAGCTCCTAATAGCATTAAAGTCACTTAACACCACCCAAGGTTCATTTGAGAAGATTCTAGCATCGTAGATAAGATAGCTCCATAATGGTCTTCTTTCTCTATCATCATTAAAGTCATAGACAAAAGAGGCTGTGAATTGCACCCTGCTCTTAAGATGCTTGATCTTGCAATGGACAACTTGGTCAGACTCAGAGATCTTGCTAAGTTCCACATTATCTGGGTTCCACCCAATCCATATCCTTCCAAAGTTGTGACTATCATAGTTTGCTAGACAATTCCAATCTCTAAAGACACCCTGTATGATTCTATTTTTATTTATAGATTTCACCTTTGTTTCAACAAGTCCCAAAATATCAATCTTTTGTTTAGAAATAATTTTCCTAACCTCCCCATGTTTAGAGGTCTCATTAAGACCTCTAATGTTCCAACATGCACAATTCATTGAGGGTGTTGGATTTTTCTGAGCAAGAGGTGCTCAGCCACCTTGGATTTTGAGTCTTTCTTCTTCCCATTCTTCCTTTTGTTTGGCATTTGTTGAAGTTGGACTGTGGCTAGTTCCTCCTCCTTATGGACTTCCTCAGTTGCTTTATTTGGTTGATTTGCTTCAGGCTCAAGCTCCGCTCTTAATTCAACCACAATA